CAATCCATTTGTTGCATTTTTTTTCGTTTCCTCAAGCCACCTCTGTCTTGTATGGTTAAGTAAAGCCATAAGCAAAAAATCATGAATGCATGTCCAATCAACTGACCGTTCCTCCTCCTTTTATCTGCTCATTTGTTTACTCATGTATATTTATATGGAGGTCTGTGTGTATGTGTGTTGAAAAATCTGTAACACGTTATCGTTGTGAACTGGGATTTCATATAGCTCGTGGATTTTTTAACAAAAAAGGTTTCTGTTGTGATGACCAAAAATCTGACCACAATATATTTTTATATCCAAAAGTTGGGAACCAAACTTGTGTTCCTTTTACTGTATTCTTCTAATCAAAATATTAGTAACTTTACAGAAAGTTACGGAATAAACCTATGTTTTACTGTATTTATTTAATTCTCTGTATTCTAATGCTATATAGTGTTTTTACAGGCAAAACACACTTTACTGCCGAACAATTTTCTTAAGTACCTAAGATTTGTACACAGTCCTGTATGTGTTTTTTAATGCTCAGTTTTAGGTCTGAGTAGTATTTTAACAGTCATATGCAAAGGTTTGAATATCCCTAGTCTAATTACATTACATTTTGTTAATTTCATAAGTAAAAAAAATTAAAAACATCCTCTACAGTGAACCTAAATATGGCATTTGTCTGCAGATTTTAGCCCATAATTTTAATTTATTTGCTGAGTTTAACATATTGAAAAAAATAAAACATAAAATATAAAATGTGCCATAATGTTTGCACAGGCACATTTTATGTTTTATATTTTTCCCAATATGTTAAATTCAGCAGATAAACAGTAATTGTACAGTAAAATGTGCAGAAGTGTGTTCTGTGTAGAGAATGTGTTAACTTATTTGTCTTAAAATCAATAAAATGTGTAATTTGGCCAGGGGTGCCCAAAAATTTGTATACAACTGTATGCTTGTGCATATTTTCTTTACATAATTTCAACATTTGTTTTTTTTTAATTCATCACCGTTTATTCTCCATTGTTTAAACATTGAAAATAGCTAATGCTTGCTAACTCTGCTAACTGTTCTCATATGTTCTGTTGTGAGTGAATGGCTAGACTTTTCCCTCCCTGTTTGGAGAGTAAAATGCACACAGTGTACTGATGTAGCAGCTGCTCAAGTTCAAGCCTGTGCTGCTACAACTGGGTTAAAGAACACAGCAGTGTAATCATTTCATAGAATCATTTCACAGTTACATATTATCGATATTAAAAAATGCTTAATTTCTATAATAATTCTTCCTTTTTGTTATGTTGCCTAGGCCTACTTTTCAGTTTAGAATTTTTTCCTTACATCTGCATCCTCATAAGGTGTTGTGTGTTGCTACCTCTCTACGCTATTTTTCGTATCCCTACTGAATCAGAGCAGAGCAGAGAAACTCCTGATTTTTTTCTGGATGTTCTCTTGAGCAAACTGAGCCGAAAGCAGCAGGACTTCGACCCTTGACACCCCCCACCATCCTGCACTTCTTTATTTATTTATTCCAAAAAGATACCCAACTGGCGCGGGAAAGCTCCGGAGAAGGACCCGCTAACCGTCCTGGGGGAGTGACCCAGCCTGCAAATAAACATCTGTTATTCAAATGGAGGTATTCACACACGGCCTGCCGGAGCTTCGCTGCAGGGGAAGAAGGAGGAGGAGGGCGGGGGGGGTTTGAGCTGGGAGTTAGCAACATCTCAAAAAACAATTATACGCTGTTGACATGAAAAGAGGCGCCGCAGTCACTATGTTTTAATTGAGCGGCTGTCGGGGTCAGGAGAGACCGACTGCAAACGTCTCTACAGCTGGAGCGCTAATAAACTCACCGCTACTGTCTGTAGATAACAACCCAAGCCCATGAGGACCACCTCAACAAAACAGCGCAGCTAGTGTGCTAGGAAAGACGAGGATTAGGTGCAGACAGCTCACTTATTAAATGCACAGGTTTGACATTAATGATTTTTAAGAAGATACTAGTCTATGAGTATCGTTTATGGACTCCTGACAAGTGTGGTTTGTTTGTTATATTGCGTTAACATCTTATTTTAGTTTCATGAGTCACAACTTTTACAGAAATATCAAGAGACCCATGATGCAGCTGGCACTTGAAGCAGAGTTTTTCCTTCTCCATAAATGTTCTTAATTTAATCCACATTTCACAGTGATAACCAGCCTCCAATCAATAACTAATTTCTTCATCGGCAGACGTCTCAAAACTCCAACGGCTGATTCTATCTCTGGCAGCAGCATCTTCTCCAGAGTGTCATTGCTGTTCTCTGGAGACCCCAGAAGTGAGAAACTCAATCCATATCTCCATCCGCTGCAGAAAAACTCGAGTTTCCTAATGAAAATTTGGCCTGTGAGCCGTACCACTCTTGCTGTCGCGTCAATATCCGGACATCTATAACAGCATACATTAGAAACCCTAGATGACTGAGGCCTAGTAAATGCCCAGCATGATAGGACTCACATGCACCGTTAAGACGATGGATACGGCCTCTTGTAGCCCAGTGCCGCATCGACTGGAGACCATTATAGAGGAAGAAATCCATAGCCATGGGACACTTATCCGTCTGCTTTTACACCATCTGAAAAGATTTTATTTAGAAATCCATTTATTTAACCTCTTGCCCACCATGTTCACTAATTAGCCCCTTCAGACAACATTCCTAACTTACAGTAAGAGTCAGTGGTGAACCATGTCTGGTAGAGCTAGACTTTTGGTTTGGGCTATAAATGTCAAAACTGGGTCATAACGCTTTTATTTTAAAGCTAATTTCTACTAGCATGCCTATATGATTTCTATTATTATATTAGTGCTAAGCTAATGCCAGTATATACAAGCATTTTTTTCCCTTATAGATTAAATGCGGACATTTGCTTGCAAAAGACGTTCTTTATTGTCGCTGCAGAAAGAAATTCAAATATCTCCAAAATGGTAACTTTCCTGGAGATGACAAAAAACATTCTTTACTTTGAACGTAAGTCAATGTAAAAAGATTTTATTCCAAGCAGTTTTGGAACATACCTATTAGTCAAGTCATCATAAAAATTCAGACAATGTAAATGGCAGTTGCTGAGTTCAAACAATGTAGAAAAATAAGAATCGCAAAAAAGCGAGATACCTGGGGGTTTTTGGACAGCGACAGTATGTTTTTTGAAGCTTGTAACAAACATTAACATATATTTTACCTTGTATGTAGCAGCTGTACAGTGTCTCTTTTAGTGAAGAGCTCTAGCATAGAGTTACGGCTGCTGTTTTGCTGACTGGAACCTGGTTAGACTACTGTTCTGTCTGTGATGTCTATTTTATTTGTTAATGAAATTGGTCCCACTGTTTGTAAACCAAAACATGATTGCTGATTCCTCTGTTACTTTCAAGTTATGCTGTCTTAACGTGCTAGGCATTTAGTCCAGTTCCAGAAGACCTAACCAATGGTAGAGCTAACTTGGCTGTAGTAGATACTACAGGGCAAAAATTCTGACATTTTTCTGTTTGGAATTTCAAGATTTTAAACCTTTTGTTTCCAAACAAAACTTAACAATGACGTAAGCATATTACTATAATACTTGCACATATTGTGAAAAATTGTGAACATTTTTTTTTTCTTTTGGTACTTTTCCCAATTTTCTCCCAATTTAGTCATGTCCAATACACGAGTCACATGAAGCCAGCCAGGAGCTACTTCTAACACAATGCCTTTAGACAGCCTAACGTGCCTAAAGGGAAAAGTTAACTGTCAATTGTGTTAGGTCCACTAACAGATGCGCAAGTTGGCCACACTCCAGACTGATTGACACATTAACAAAAACAGCTTATTCAATTCTAAGTGAAAACACTCAAATGTTATAAATGCACTTTTTATGCAACAAGTGTGATGATTGTTAGGCCTTCTCTAAGCCCTGAGGGTTCCTCACTGGTAAAGATTCTGTACATGACTGGATGTTGTCAAACAGTAAATCAGTCAACATTTTACGCTGAAGCTCCTAGTAAATACGGCACATTACCTGGAGTTCCTTTCCTAAGTTTTTGCCGCTGCTGTGTGAAGTCCCTAGGCTGAGAACAAGCATGTTCAGGTTTGATGAAGCAAGCCACTGCAGTTCAACAGAGGATTTTGCCTGCAGCACTAGAGCTAAAGGGAGGGGAACTAGGTGTGTGTTTCAGGTGCGGGCATCTCGCGGGGGCCTAACCCTATCCTCCACAGACTTCTTTTGGGTCCTAATAATAACTTGAAAGTACAGTCTTGAGCGTGGTTCCCTTTTTTTGCTTCTTAATTAGCTTTTAGCATGAATAAAGCTAATTGCTGGGAGCTAATTGGGCTTAGTTTCAGTTCTTGTCTGTTTGGACCCCCCTCACCTCCACCCCTCCCCCCAACCTTTCTCCCTAGGTGAAGTGAACACTGTGCATTCCAAGCTGGGTTTTTGTGTTGCTTGTCACTTAGCACTTTGATTTCTTGGCAAATTAAGAGCTATTTAATTAGTGAAGTTTCTTTTTATGTCTCTCTCGTAGTGGGAGAGAGATTAGGATAGTGTCAGGTTTGAGGCAGAACTGAAAGTTTGAAACATGTCAGCTCAGTGTGCTGCTGAAAGTCGCTGTGCTTACAGACTGCAAACGGTGTGTGCATTGTCTAGAATGCACCTGAAAGAAAACATTGTTGTGAATTGTATATATATCTGTATTCACTGCATTTTTAAGTAAGCTTGGGAAACTTTCAGAGATTTTTCCATAATGTTGCTATGTGTAAGTTATTGTCAAGATCAGTATTGACATAAATATGTTAAGAGAGGTGTAGAGTTGGAGGTCAATTATAACTTCATTAAAATATAAGTAATAAAGCATTCTAAGTTTTTATCTGATTTTAATTGTGTTTGAATATTTTCTCTGTGTTTTTCTGGTTTATTTTAGACTTTGAGCACATTTTAGGTGTATTGTCAGTGTATTGCTGTATTTTGTTATTATTATTTTTTAAATATTTCCTGAATTGTCTTAGAGCCCACCTTGAGGAGGAACTGGATGTTGCACGTGTGCAGGCGGCCACGGATCGTGCTGCAGCCCTAGAACTACGCATTTGTCTGCAGGAACAGCAAGGTACCACTTCTGAATCTTCTGCAATGTTACGATAATTTTAGACACATCATAGCACTAGACACATGTGCACCCTCCTGAATTATACAATCCATATACACTATTCAAGGACACAGTGGTACTGCAGGGCCACATCCCATTAAATTTCTCTCATTCTCTATGAGGCCTCATCTTCTGTCAAAAAGCTGTAGGCATTTACACACTCAGATTTGTTGTTATAAATATAGTTAATAGCAACACTGTTTAATTAAAGGAAAATTCCAGAATTACTCAATCTAATCTCAACTAATTTTGTCCAGCATCAATCAAAGTTAGCAACAGTCTTCCAGACGCAAGCATGCAATGTGAGTTTGTTGTGTGTCAGTGTAAACATGGCAAAAGCCATCACTCCAGAGATTTTTCAGCCTTCTGAGAGGACTAAGTCTAAATTAGGGTTGTATTTTGTTTTTATAAGAATGCAGAGGGAAACTTGATTAAACATGGACATCACTGCATAAGGGGGCAACACTTCAAATCTTATGATTTATCTTCATGACCTCCAGCCACTACTTTAATGAATGTGTTCTGATGAATTGTGCTTTCTTGTCGAAATGTCCTACCGTAGCACATATTTATAGGTAGCTCCGTACATAATTCTTCCTTTTACATAACACATCCTTCTAGGTAGGATATTTTGATAGCTTAAATCACCTTTTTTAAAACTTCTACCAGCAGTAAAACTACGAGCTGAAATCAGCTTCTTAATCACCAGCTTCTAGATTTTTCCACCTTAAATAGTGCAGCGGTTATTACTCCTCGGGCACCAGAATGTCCACCATTTAAGGTGGAACAGGAAAATTGGGACAAGAAGCTGGTGAATAGGAGGCTGACTGCAGCCTCATGTTATAACTGCAAGTAGGATAGTTTGATAATCTAAATGTCCTTATCAGAAAATGTTACCATCATTAAAAGAATACTCGGGATGTTTTGATAGCCTAAGTCAGCTTATCAGAGGAGAAGTAATATTAAGCTGAGTCTGTACTGAATTAGCATTAAAAACACAAGAAAACATTTGAACACTCGTGTTTGAACCGTTTAAACCTCTCATGGCCACATGGTGCCAACTTTTTTATGTTATTGCATGTTTGATTCGTTTTTTATATGTCAACATAAGGTATTGACTATATTATTATTTGAATCTTTATACAAATAAAAAGTTCATAGTGCAGCTTATTTTATTTGTTTTTTTCAATAGAATTGGTTGGTGAAATGATTACAGTTTGTGTATCGATAGCTTTTGAACATTTTCAGCACGCTTTAACAATTCCGTGATAATACTAATAAGCGTGTTCATTTTTCCACTATAATCGTGATATTAACATTTCACACCATTTCATCTCTAGTATCTAGTATGAATTACTCGGTAAGTGCAGTGACTTTCAGTAACTGCAATTAATTATTCACTGTCTACTAATTACTGTGAATTAGTCTATATCCACTAACAATAATACACTATTTATTTTGAATTGTTCAGCGACTTATTCAGTAATTACAATAAGTTATTCCGTTACTACTAGAATAATTCAGTTCTTACTTTAAAGTATTGTATATTTACTATGAATTCTTCAGCATCTACTAGTTAACTACAATGTATTATTCAGTAACAACTATAAATTATTCATAGTGTCTACTATGAATTATTCTGTAACTGCTATGGTTTATTCCGTGACTGTTAAATGTGCAAGTTCCGTTGTTATGTGACAGAGGAATTGAATTGTTGACCCACCTACACCTTTTAATAGGTCTAACCAACTAAACCGGTCTATAGAGTTAACTAACGTCCAAGCCCTAAAAGTAATTGAATTTAATATTGTCATGTTAATGTGTATTCATATATTTCGCACTGATTTGCTGAACTATCCCGGTTCTCTTATTCTAACGTGCATTATGGTTATTAAGATATCAATGAGATGGTTTGTTGATGGATGTCACTTATAGATCATTGAGGTGAGTGTACTTATTATTCAGCCTGTCTGAAGCCAAGTCTATTAAACATGGACTGTGGCTGAACCTCCTGACCTAATCAAAGAGGAGAAGAATCAGGCAGCCGCACGGAATCGCAACAGCTAAACCTGACAGACCAAAGGCATATTTAGAGCGAGTGGAGAAGACAGCGATTTTACAAGTCTATTAATCCATATCGGCTGTGCAGGAGCACAGTGGGTAGTAATTAAGTGGCAGTGGAGACACTGAGCTTTTTGCACAGTAAAGTCACCTTCTGAGTTAGTTAATCAACTCCCGCGCTTACCGCGGACTCAGAAAGAGGCCAGCGATCACATGCTTGCTGCCCACAACCTGATTAGTCCTGACAAGCTCCTGAGACAAAAGAGACAGCTAATTTAAAGTAACAAACTTCTAAGCCTTTCGGAGTGTGTATGTGTGTCGAAGAGGCCACAGAGAGAGAGCGCACCATCTGACTACATGTTCTGACCGTCCAAAAGGTGAGCTGACCCCGAAAAGTCAAAATCCTAAATATTTCACCATTCAACAAATGAGCATCCCCGTGAGGTACAGCATAGAAGTTTTATATCAACTTGGCAATGCAAAAAACTTCAGCACTTCAGCTTTCCGGATGTTTTTCTTGCCACTTTTACCTTTACAAAAAGTTTCAGTGTGTTCCACAGTTACGTCAAAAATACAAACGGCGTCAGAGGTTGATAATTAACTTCAAAAGCTAATTTTGGACAAAAAAAATAGAGAAAAACTGCATTATTCTACAATACGTTGGATGATTGCTTGGGGTCAGAAGGCTCTGTGTGATGATTAAGAGAATTTTTTTTCTTTACTAAAGTCTTTCTGTCTCCAGCGAGTGCTCCATCCATTAAGGGCCTCTTTAAGAACTCATGCAGAAGAATAGGCCTGAAAGGACAAGAAATTATGTGTCATTAATAATAATTGACTCATTATTGTACTTTAGCAGTGGAGTGAAGACGTGGTGGCTGGCAGGTGACAGTGTGTGTGTGTGTGTGTGTCTGTGTGTGTGTGCTTTTTTTGTTTCTCTGGCAGAGCTGCAGCTGAGAAGTGATGAAAAAGAGGCAGTCAGCAGCAACCCAGTCCTGCCATCTGCCCAGAGACTGGACAAATCCATTAAGAAGGTACAAATCGCTGCCTTAACACACAAACATTCTCTGTTTTTGCGTGTTTCAGCTTTGAATGGGGGGGGCTCAACTTGCTGTTTTGTTTTTGCTTGAGGCCAAATTTATTACTGTAAAAAAGCAGTATTTCACTATTGAATTAACTGCACCGTTTTTGTCAGCATGAGTTTGTTGATTATGTAATTGTTTGGGTTGTTTAAGTTGATGTTTTAATGCACTAAATTATTAATGCCACTATTTTTATAAATGCCCTTCTAACCATTCATTGTAGTGCAGGCTAAAGCCCAGCAGCTCATGTGCTGTGTTGCTCTGATAGAATTCATGATTGTAGCCATCTCATTTAAATACAGCTTTAAATGGCTTGTAAAGCAATACCTTCAGCACCTTGAGCAGACTACACTGGACAGTGCACACAGGACTCCTGTGGATAAGTCAATGAGAAGCAAACTAACAAATGCAACAGCAAAGTGGAAAGGTCCGGTTCCCCTTAAGAGCCTTCACTGTAACAGGAATCCACAAGCTGTATGAACAAGAGCGAGAGGCCACAGTTGTGGGGGTTTGGAACCATTGACTGTACACAGGATATAGTCATTGGTTTGCGCATGCAGCTGCTGCTACTCTCACTGATCTGTGGTGAAAATTGGAAGCTGCGTTTGCTCAGATTCAGGTGAACCCTGCGATCGCACAATAAGAATAACACGTTGAGTTGAGTTAATGAAAGTCAATACATTATGTTCAATGCACTACTTTTTAAATAGAAACAGATCTTTCTTTAGGGTCACATTTGGGCAAATAAGACAATTGCAATTAATCACATTAACTACACAAAAACAATGTGGTCATTTTAAACGATTGACTGAACTGTTATTAAATTACAATGGATGCACCCTTTACTTCTGCCTTTGTAGTGAATCGTGTAAGCTAAAAATGTCTGAGCCTGTGTGTCCGTCATTTTGTTGTCAACAACGTGCCCAAATACGGAAAATGGGGAACAAGGGCAAAAATTTATTAGATTTTCAAAAAACGCTAATATCACACCGAGTGATAAACTAAACTGTTCCAAAGCGGTACGTTTTGTGCTGTGACTTATTCCTCTGAATTACGGCGTTAAGGAGCCAAATTACGGCGTTAAGGAGCCAAATTATTGCTACATGCCAGCTAAAGCTGCTTTGTGCTGAATGGACATCATAAGCCTGGCAACCTCACCAAAATACATCACACAAACCAGCAAGCTTTGGTGGTTTTAGGCTACAGTTTGGGTGGCTGGTACAGTATAATACTGTTAATATGTAGTAATAGCCTTTCTTGTGCAGGAATGTTAGCTTGCTAGTAGAATGAATGTAGCAAAATTGTATATTGACTCTTTGATGACCTCATAATTGAGAGGATCCAGTAACATTGTGGGGAAAATGGATAAGGGACAAAATGTCTTAGCTTTACCCAGGGTGTAATATTGATGATTTTCAGGAACACCATTATTTTTTCTCTTAGAGAAAAGCATCTTTATTTGGGCAAAACTTTTCAGTATATTGTCACTGTCACAAAAAAAGAAAACAAAGTGTTGCTGTAAATGTGTAAATATATATTTTTCTTTTACTGGAGTTTCAAAGCTTATTGATATCAGTAAGCTAGAAACCAAATATTTTAATTAAACAAGAATAGAAACTGTGGGACACATCTGTATAAATATGATCATTTTACTATTATTTTTGTTACTTTAACCCTCTTTTTTATTTCTGGCTCATATGATTAATTCTAATGACCACACTGCCACTAACTGGCCACAGTAAGTCCAAGAAAACTTTAGCAAACAAACTCCTCAAGCCTATTACACCCTCAGCTTGACTCACTTCAGGACAGAACACTGTTTTTTTAAACATGCCATTATTATCATGCTATTTTATATGGTTTTTTTAATCTATGCTGTATGTCTAAAAGTATCCAGACACTCCAGACACTAATGAGTGAATTCAAGGTGCATCTATTGCTGACACACATATTAGTTATGCACAAACACAGCTTTTATCTCCATAGAAAAGCATTGCTAATAGAATAGGATGCTCTGGTGCAGCCAAACATGAGTCACCATGCACAATGCCAAACATCAGCATGAGGGGATATGAAGTCCCCCAGCACTGGACCATAGAGCAGTGGAACTGTGTTCTTCAGAGCAATACCTTTGGAATGAGTTGGAGTAGCGTTTATGATCCAGAACTAATCATTCAGCATCAGTACCTGACCTTACTAATGTTCTTGTGGCTGAATAAATAAGATCAAATCCTCACAGCAATGTTCCAACATCTAGTTAAAAGCCTTCCTAGGAGAGTATAGGCAAAGGGGGGCAAACTCCCTATTCTTCCCCCCTTTGCTCTAGAACAGTTACTGGTACATACAGACTTTTGGACATATGCTATATCCACTCACTGTCCACTTTATTAGGTACTATAATGTTTTAGGTAGTTTTGTAGGCCTTGTATCTACACTCATTGCCTATTTCATCAGGTCCACTTTCTGTGTACTTTGTAGTTCTTTTCCCATTCATCAGTGGTCAGGACCTCCACAGAGCAGGTGTTATTTGGGTGGGGGATCATTCTCAGCACTGCATTTACATGGTTGTGCAAGCGACACGTTGGTGACATGTTAGTGTATGTTGTGCTGGAATGAAAGGATCAGACACAGTGGTGCTGCTGGAGTATTTAAACACATCAGTGTCGCTGCTAGACTTACAAGAAGTCCACCAACCAAAAATATCCAGCCAACAGCGTCCTGTGACCAGAAACTGACCATTGATGAAAGACTAGAAAATGACCAACACAAACTGTTCATTGACAGATGAGCCATTGTCTCTAAGCCCCTAAGGGGACTAATATTGTTTTTTAACCAAAAAAAAAATATATGAACTAATACAGTAATGTCTCACATTCTCAATACATCAGGTTACCACACCACATATCAACAATCTGATTGGTCGCTGTTCAGCTCATTTTAATGAAGTTAGTCCAGAAGAAGATAGAGCAGGGTATGCATCAGCGCTTTGATGTCTCCTAAGTGTTCATTGCAGTCTCAAAAGGGGGGAAAAAAGGCATATCATGTGATATCACTGTGAATGTCACATATGCTGCTTAAAATTTCAGCACTCCAATACTTCCTGTATTCCTGCCTACAAGGTAAACTAATAAGGTAGGTGTATCTAATAGAGTGGACAGTAACAAGGACACAGGGAGTATGGGAAGTACGGGTGCTAAGGGTGCTGTAGCACCCCTGGATTTCTGGATTATTTAACTGAAACTACTAAGAACAATAACAGAACAATAACAACAGTAGACCTTCTAAATATTTTGATCATAGCAAAGACCTGTGTGTGCTTTTGTAGGGTAGAGTGTATTTTGGTCATAAGAATCTATTGCTGGTAGTACATGTAGCTTCACTATGGGCAGGATGCAAGCGGTTTCCATGCCTCACATCAACAATCTGATTAGTCAACGTTTAGGTCATTTACATGAGGTTTGTCCAGCAAAAGAGAACAGACCATAGGCTGTGCATCAGCAGAGGCTGTCGATCGTATGTGCATATCTATGGTATGATAGGTTCTGTTTGTAAATAAAGAAATAAAAGAAACACACAGTATTTAGCACAATACCACAGTGTGAGTGTATCTAATGAGTGTATCTATGTTGCCAAAAAATGGCAGCACCCCCAAGTTAAAACACCTTCCTGCATCCTTGGACAGTCAGTATACAAAGTGTTTAAAAAACTCCAGCAACACTGCTTTTTATGATCCACTTGTACCAGTGCAACACACACTAACATGTCACCATTATGTCAGTGTCACTGCAGTGCTGACATTGATCCACCCCCAAATTAATACCTGCTTTGTGGGGGTCCTGACCATTGATGTACAAGTTAAAGTGGGCCTAACAAATAATGCCGAGACACAGATGGACGGTAATCTGTAATTGTAGGATTACAGAGTGCATCTATGAGTGTAGCTACAAAGAAGGTGTGCCTAATAAAGTGGCCATTATGTGGATATAACCATTAATAACTTCATCAGGATCTTTGAAACAACAAACCAGCTGCTAAAGAGGTGAGAAAAACAGGCCCATTGTGTGTCTGCCTGCCTTTTTTTCCAACAGCCAAACTGTGTTTCACACTTATCCACATCCTGAAGCCATCTCTTTATCCAGACCCCCACAGGGTGCGCATACACACGGCTATGAGCCACTAGCCTTTAACACGCGCCCTGCAGCAGCGCAAAGATGCTTTGGTAGCTGGAGGGCCTTTTGTGGGCCGCGGGGGGCGCTTTTGAGCGGAGGAATGAAATGGGTTGTAGAGTAATTCGGAGCATATGATGCCATTGAGCTGAGTGCCAGCGCCTGCCATATGGCAAAGTAATGGGGGCTGTCATCGCCTTTATTACTGAATGACAAGCACCATGTTAAACCAAATAACCTACTGGGGACGGACTGCGCCTGTTAACACGCTGTAATGTGCATAAGTGTGTGTGCTTGTGTGTGTGTGTGCGTGTGCATGCGTGTCACCCACATTCCTGGCAGGCCGTTGTCAGCCAGGCGTAAAGGGTCTAATGTTATTTGAAAGGTGGCGTGCTGCAGTTCGAGGACCCAGTAAAAGCTAAGTAAAAAGAGGAGATTTGCCTGGGGGTAAACACCCAGCAGGCATGCTCTTTTCTCTCTCTTCTCTCTTTTACACCCTCTACCCGGATCTGACAAGCAGCCTAAATAGCCCTCTTTTGTGTTTGTTCAGGAGGACTCACAACCAGGGAGGGAACTGTGGGCCTCATACGCATACAGTACAGACACTTAAGGTTACTGCAAACTGCCATAATAGCAGTCTTATAGGTTTATTGCACTTCTACTGTACTGTATGGCAAAAATCACAACACTAAACAGGCATTCAGCATAGCTCTCATCAACAATAAGGGAACACGTGGTTAGTTGTCACACTGTTTCCACTAGCTCTCGTATCTATACTCATTCTGTTGGTGGACATTTAGCCATGATTTTCTCCTATTGGTGGCTTTTTAGGCATGCCATTGTTCTGTTGTTGGATTTGTAGACATTCCATTCTCCGGTTGGTGGATTTTTAGACATGCCGTTCTTCAGTTTTTGGATTTTTAGGCATGCAGTTCTCCTATATGTGGATTTTTAGCTGTACCATTGTCCTACTGATGTATTTTTTATCTCTGCCATTGTCCTTTTGTAGATTTTTGGCTGTGTTATTGTCCTGTTGGTGGATTTTTAGCTATGCTGTTTTTATTTGGTGCTTTTTTTTTTTTGTGCTGTTCAGCTTTCTTATTGGTGGAGTTTTAGCTCTGACATTCTGTTGGTGGATTTTAGCCATACTCTTCTTCTATTGGTGGATTTTAGCCATGCTGTTCTCTTATTGGTGGATTTTTAGCCTTGTGGGCAGAGCATTCACAGTTTTTGGTCTAAAACCTCTGACTCTGACACAACTTTGTCATCAGCTATTTTTAGTCTACGTCTAAATCTAAATCAGCTGCCAATTAACAGTGGTACATTAGGTGCTCCAACAACGCCTATTTTAACTCACTACCAAAGAATCCTTTGACTATTTGAAATTTTTGTCATTTTTCTGGGTTTGTTACTGCATTATCCTGGCCAAAATTGTGTATGTGTTCCTTTAGCCAGGAGACAGTTATAACAAAGCTTTTTTGGGAGCTAAGAGAATATTTCAGATGCAAGACTGGCATTTCAGCCTAAGAAAGCATGTACTCGCAGTAACTGTACTGACGGGAGCCAGTCATTTTAGAAAGACAGACAGTTGAGAGTACTGCTGTTACTGCCACTTAAATGTCTTCCGGACACTTGACTTTAGCAAAGCTGTTCAAATTCCATCCCGTCTGATCCATCCATCCAGGTGAAATTGACTTATTTCCTCATCAGTGCGCCTCATAATGGCATTGATAGAATAGAGGATATGTTTGGTAATAAACATGTCAAACGTTTCATTCATGCCTGAAAGAAGGCACTCTAAGGTGAAATGATGCAGATGTGAATGGCCGCTGTCATAAGAAAACCTCTGAAACAGTAAAGGAAAAAAAATAACATTCCTACGTCTGTTATTGTAAATTGCCAAAACATTTGAAAATTTTGCTTTGCATGTATTGTGTAACACAAAGTTTAAAAGACAAAAACAAACAAAATACATAGGTACAAAGATGTTTTTTACAAAGAAATGTGGAGAACATACATACATACATACAGGAAGCCAGAATCGATTACAAATACACTTGTCTGTTATTTAGTATCACCACCACTAGGGTGATATTAAAAAAAAAAAAAAACCCTGTTAAAATGTTTTTTTTTATGACAGTAATGGTGTATGGGCTATTCTACTGAATTAGTTCAAACTGCAGACCCACAGGAAAAAAATAACAATTTAAAAGAGCAATAAACTATACAGACCTTAGATATATATTTTGACGTATTTAAACCCAAGGCGTTTTTTGAGATAGGAATAAACTAAATATATACTAGATATATATTACTTTCTGTTTGGGTGGTGGCTGTTCCAAACCCTAACCCCTAAATTTTAACTTGGTGAAAATAATATTTGCGATTTTTAAGTTTCCATGTTTTTAAGATCTTTTTTATTTCTTTTAAAGTTGAAAGATTTAGTTTTATCATGAGTTTAATTTAAAAAAACAAAAAAAAAAACTTTGTCCGAAAGATGCTGTCCCATGTTTTCATGTCACTGCCAAAACAAAGAGTTTTAGTCCAGAGGCGGAGCCTTATTTTAGCCACACCCCTGAATTTTAGAGTAGGAAGTAAACTGCACCCCTGTCCCTCATGGCAACAGTTTTCTACAATAAAGTGAGCTTTTTTGTATTTTATTGAAAAGTATTGTGATTTTATATGTGTACAGTTGTTAAAAACTGTATTTTTGGGTCGTGCTCAAAATTATCTAAAATTGTCAATGCTAAAACAGTTATGATTGTTTTTGTTAGCGACAAAGTGGATTGTTCAATCATTTGTTATAATAAAATAAACATGATTAACATATAGGGGTGGGAATCTCTAAGCACCTCACGATTCAATTACGATTCAGAGGGCTACGATGCAATTATAAAATGATTATCGATGCATCTTGCATCTTTCTATACAGGATTTCTTTTTTCTCACTGTGTGAGGAGTTGGTACTTTTAAAGCAAAGTATTTGTAATGCAAAGATAATTTGGAATGAGTTTACTTCCAATATCTTTTATTAATAAAACAAACGGAAGCAATGTGCCAAGTGGTCTGCTCATTCACTGCTCTTGTTTGGACCACGTGAGACGCTGGCTACCACTCGTCTGTGATAAGATGCGATGTCCACGCATGACATTACAGCTATCCTACCCGTTTTCTTTAGAGATTTCATAACTTCGGTTTTGGTCTCGTTGTAGAGAGTGGGGGGGGGTTGCTGTCAGTAAAATGTCTTCGAGATGGGGCGCTGTATCTCAGCTCCAGAGTGTGCAACATGACGTGAAAGCCCTGATTCTCAACAACTGAGAACGGATGCAAATCCTTGGCAATAAAAGTTGCGATAGAGTTTGTAATTTGCTTCCGAATTGGGTGAAAGCTCTGACATTGCTTGCTCGATGGTCTTCTGGTTGGCAGCAAGTACAACCAGACGGAAAACGGGTGGAAGCATGTCATATGGTTTCTTATGTTTGTCGTTTCCAAAATAGTTTAGTGTGACACAAATTGCATATTGTGTGGCTCCTGTCCAGGTCCCTTTTCCCTTGAACTTCATAAAAGCCAAACTGCTTCCGTACACTAGCTCAGTGGTCAGAAACATACAGCTCTTTTACTAACCTGGTGCGACTCCACAGTAGAATTAGTATGTTTAGGTAAAAATAAAATAATTCTCTTTTGCAGTAAAATAAAGCTCTGCTGATCGTTCTAACTGTTTCAACAATATATGGTCTTAAACGCTGCTAATTCACCACCCTATAACCCTGAAGGTTGGCGTGCAGACTGCAGGTCACATAGCAACGCAGACAGCCTAGCTAGTAGCTAACGAAAAAGCAAAGAGACAGATTTAAGACGAACATTTGGAAACAAATGGAATTATTTGCATTTCTAAGCACCGCAGTTGGTTTCCTTGTACGTTAAATCTGCAACGAGAGACTGTCAAACACTAAAAAGTTGCGAAGATAAAGTCAGCTTCTCTTTCGAATTTTCCCGTTCTACCTTAAATGGTGCTGCATTTACATTCTGGCGCCTTGGGCGGATTTAAGGTGGAATGGAAAATTCAAACAAGAAGCTGGCGAATAAGAAATAAGAAATAGACTTCAGCCTCGTAAAACAGTCAAAAGTTGAGAGACATTTTAAAAGAAACTGATCTACTTTTAAGGAAAAGTTTTCTGGCGGAGATGGGAGGAAAGCGGCTATAACTGAAAACATAAAGCAGAGCGATGTAAGTCTGTGTTTTGGTTTATATTTTTTAGCCTATACTAGGACATCAGCACATACTGAGACATATTGGACATTAAATGTTGTGGCTCCCAAGGTGGTTTGATTTTTGTTGAAAGGACAAAATGTCTCTTCTTAACATTTGGGTTGTGACTCCTGACCTAACCTAGCTTTTAATGCAGAGGGAGCCGGTCGGATTTCTCCCTCATCCAGTTGTGTTTTTGTTATGTGCACGTCACAGAGTGTCCGGACGCTGCACTTCCGCACTTCCAAGTTACGCCTTTTGCGTTCTGTCAACATTGTTATAAATTAAAATTTAGAAAATCGATTTTTGACATTTGTGAATCGATTCACAATTGTCCATGTCTGCATCGTGATGCATCTAAGAATCGACCCCCGACCCCCACCCCTATTAACATATAGCGTCACTTGAAGCAAAAGGATTTTGTCAGAGAAAAGTCAGTTAGAACTCTGACTTGGAGCCAGTTCAGTAGAATAATCCATAAAGAGGTGATTGGTACGGTACAACTGTGACTGTGTTTGTGTGTGTACAGATTGAAATGTTGGAGTGGAAGATGGTATGTTTAGAAAAAGAGACGGGACAACTGAGAGAGGATAACCAGGCCCTGCAGGAGGCCTCTGAAATCCTGTCCCAGGAGCGTACTGACCTCCAGGCTGCTCTGAAGCGAGCCATGTCTCGAGAGGAAGCAGAGGTGGAGAGACTACGAGGTAAGGCTGCAACTAATAACTATTGCTATGATCGAGTTCCACTAATCAGTAAGCTAAATATTGTTTGTGCATCATCAGCATGCTGCTGTAAAATGCAGTTATCACTGTCATTAAGAAAATGCAGCTTTGGACCAGTACTAACATAATCTTGACCATCACCAATTTTTGACAGACGCTATCACCATGGCAGCGCTTACACAACAAAATACTGCCATTGGTCAGGTAACACTGTTTTACACCTTTTCTGCAAAAAAACACGTGAAGATTTTTTTTTACAACACAGACATGTAAACGCAACATTAGCGTGCTCCCCTATTTCTCCTGTGTTAGGTCCTATAGACTCCTTCCCTAGCTAGCAAGAAGTAAACTGTGGTAAAGTTCAATACTGTGAAAAAAACAAAGAGAAAATCACAGTCTTCGATCTTTCTTTGGCACTTGACATCTGTGCCTAGTGCTGTAAGGACTCTAGTCAGTTAAGCTTTACTCACTGTGTTATGTTGTCAGCTGCTCTGTCACTACTTTGAATATTCTTGCTTTCATGGTTGTCATGAACGTGAACACATTTACACCTTCAGAGGTTTAGCCCTAACAGTCCTACAGCAGCTTAGCCCCACTCATTCGGTCTACTGTAGTTCACCTAATTCATGCAAATTAGAATATGGGCCCTTTAAGTAAATATTTATAATTCATAATTGATGTTTGTTGACTTTGAACCTAACTGATGCTGCCATACTGCTAGGTGAAGTCCAGGCTTTGGAGGCCCAGCTGCAGAGCTCCAGGAGAGAGGCAGCAGAGGCTCGGAGAGCAGAGGTACAGGCCAGGCATGTTGTGCTGCGGCTCAGACAGGAGCTGGGGGTCCTGAAGGCGGAGAGAGATTTCCACAGAGCCTCTGCCCGCCGCTGGAGTAAAGCTACGTATGCTGCTTCCCTTCAAGAGACACTACTGATGTGCACTTATACATGTTATACATGTATACATGTGTGCAATTTGTATACATGTTAGAGCCTGACCGATGTGAAATTGAAAAATGTTCTTTTAACAAGATATTAATTACTTAAAAAAGTTTAATATGTTTATGTTTATTTGTACTTATTCTACTGTTATAAAGCGTTTTTCCTAGCAAAAACACACTTACTGCCAAGATAAGTGGTTTTAAATTATTTTCTTGGCTGCCTAGGACTTTTTTTTGCCTAGGACGTATATTTATGTAAATGTATTAGTTGTCAATTCTCAAAACTCAAATGATTTGTAGAAGTTCTTAAAATAAGTGACATAAATATAAAATTTGTCTCTTATAACTTTAAAACAGGTAACTTTTATGATGCTGAACTCTCAAATAGTATTTTCCTTAGCACTCAACAGTATGTTTGATTGTTACTATTCCAAATAGCATCACATTTCTGAAAATAGCTTTGTAATACAAAATTTACACATTTACCCTGCACATAATAATAGTTAGTCTTTTATGCACATGATGTATTGGTCAGACCCTAGTAAATACCACACACCTGTATATTGTTTGTATATTGACTCTACCAAATTGGTGCAAAGTCAGAGTTGAAAACATATTTCAGACTTTTCACTGACTTTGACTTTGGACTAAAATCCTTTTCCTTTGAGTGACCCTATACCTTAATTATGTTCATTTTATCAAAATAAATGTTGGAACATTTTGTCACTGCCAATACTACAATACTGCTGTTATAATAACGCCTCTGGAACCAAATTTACCGAAGTTTTCGGTAGTGACAAATTTGGGTAATTTTGAGCATAACTCACAAACGCTAACTAGTACATGACTAGCAAACACAGCTTTGAACAGTTGTACACACATACTTAACATTTTTCATTAAAACATTTCAGTAAAGCTAAAATTGCAGAAAATATGTGTTTTGGTCAAAATTCTTAAGGTCAGAGACTGATTTTCAGACTTGGGGACACATTTACTTCAAAACAATGGAATCTAACTGCTCACCATGTGGCCATGAGGGGCACAGATGCAGTCTCTGGCTAAAATAAGGCTCTGTCTATGTACTAAAGCTCTTATTGTTTTGGGAGCGATGTGAAAATGTGGGACAGCGTTTTTTAAGTAATGTTTTTATATTTAAAGATTAGGCTAATGATGAATTCAAATATTTCAGCTTTGCATTACAAAAAGATTTTTCTAATAACGAACAAAAAGTATTGTTGAAATTTAGAGATTAGTGTTTGGCACAGTCACCTCCCAATATAAAGTACCCTATAAATGTATTGTTTATATATTTAGCCTATTACTACCTCAGTAATGCTTTGGGTTTAAATAGCATAATCCTTATAAATAGGTCTGAATACTTGTTGTTTTAAATAGTTTTTTCACTGTGGGACCACAGTTTGAACTAATTTGGTAGAATTACCTGTGTATATTATCTTACTCTGTTTATATTTATATCATTTATCTTTATCTGACTGAGAGAAACTGTGTAACACTTCCAGTGCGCCTGTTCCACATATAAATTACTATAGAGATAATTTGATTCTTGAATTTTGAATTTTGAACATTCCAGCAGGCCCAGACTCCCAGCATGCAGACCCAGAGGCCCGACCCAAACACACATGCACCCGGAGCAGCAGCGCAGGACACACACACGCTCGGAGCAGCAGAGGACACACAGCCCTGCCAAGGACGAGTGGGAGGACATGAGTCCAGACAGGTACACACACACACACACACTCCCCATTTTCCCCCGGCCCCATCTTTTTATCTGTCTCTTTCTCTCCTGTCTCCATCCCTCGCTCTCTCATTATTTTTTCCGGCCAGAGGGACAGCACGCATATGCAAAAAGCCATAAGGAAGCAGGGTGATTGAATCCCAGCTCGCGTCTCGTTGGTATTCAGAAGAGGAGGAAGAAGAAGGCAGAGTGAGAAGAAGGGGGAGGGAAAAAAAACCTGTCAGATCCCTTTTGAAATATCCTGGGACGTCTTGCTTGCAGCTTATTGACTGAAATTTGCATGCAGAATTAGCCACCTCTGCACGGCGGAGTTGAGCCGGTGCCAGGAAGCGCCAGAATCCGCCGTCGTTCCGTTTCGTCCCGTCCAGAGCAAATGCCATCTTCCAGCCGTCACGAGCCCCAAAAACTGACAGTTTGGCAGCTTGATTTAATTTGCGGCTCCTTTGCATATTCACCCCCCTGACACTGGAGGAATCCCAGGCAAACCCCCCGACCGGCCCGTTCAGTTAGCTTATGACATGTTGCCTTCACCACAAGCAACCGTTTCTTCCCCCTCACCGCACACACACTCCACCCCGCCTTCATTTAGCCGAATACATTTTGAATGACCCTCCCTGGCTCACTGGCAGATGTTTACAAGCTGTTTAACATCCTCCAAATTAAGAAGCATCTACAGTAATTATTTTGTGTATGTTTTATGCAAAGCCACTGCGCCAAGCTTCAGAGATTGAAGGGCCTGGAATGATGTGATTTTGAAGATCTGAACTGTACGTTGCCGTCTTACAGCGCCCCCCCCACACACACTCTATAACCCACGCTAACTCTTGTCCTCCGCCACGCTGAGCTCATAAGGCTCCTCAAAGACACAGTGTGCCATTATGAGGCAGTGAAGTGTGCCTAACTGTGGCTCTCGGGATACTCAACACTGGAGTTGCATGCTAAATAGCATAAACAGTACACGTACATATCTACTTGGAATACAGACAGTACTGTTTCTTTATGTTTTATGCGCACTGACTGGTATTATGTGCATATTGATCTGGCACGCATGATAAATTATGCTGCATGCATAATAATTGATATTGTATGTATTCAGTTGATGTTATATGTGTGATAACTGATATTGCATTGATGTCACAAACATGCTAGCTGTCAGAACAAAACTTTATATTTCCTTTTTGTCAATTTTTATTTTTTAACTTAATGCCACCTGCCAGTTACACAGTCATAATTTAATGATGAATATACCAATAGAAATGTTCCAAATTGACTCCAAGTAAAACCTTGTTACATTCAATTATATCGAGAGTTAATGAAGTTTTTTCCATCTCCTGTGAAGTTACTTTTTTGGGGAATTTTGGAAGTTTTGTTCTGACAGCAACAATATGTGTGCTGGTGCTTGTATGTTGGATATGTAATAATGTGCATGTTATTGTTGTGTTAATGCCGTCTGTCCATTTACAGTGAGACTGAGGAGTTCTCCGACAGTCTGGAGAGCCAGCCTCGTTCACAGACTCGCCGAAATCCATCTGTAAAGGTTGGAGACACATATGGGGCTAATGTGTAGTTTAAAAATGAATAAAACACCACATACCATGCCTCAGTACTCTACAGGCCAAAAGTTTGGAAGCACTGACTAACATGACTATGTTAGATTTTCAGAAGATAACAGACATTAATATGTTTATTAAGCAGTTTTTTGACCAAGAATGGATGCGTAAATAGCATGTACAGTAAGATAATGTTAATGAGTTTATTTTGATTGCCCTGGTCATTTTGGAAAAAGTAGTTAGGTTAAACTACATATGAATAAACATGTTGGATGGAATATTTTTGAAACCTGGCCTGTAGTGTACAGTTTTTGGTTTATTTCTGTTAAAGGGGAATTCCACCAATTCTTTTTCTGAATTTCTGTGTGATTCAATGATTCGAAGAAGTGAACAAAGTCAGAATGATTTGTTATGAAATGATCTGTTCTAGAGAAACTTACCGAGTCAGAATTTTTCACAGTGGTGGTGGTCAATATTAGGACATCTGATTCCTAAGACATTGTTTTGCGGTTACCATTGTTTTCATCAACGATTAAATTAAGTGAACTTTTTTAAGAGATTGGTGGAATACCTCTTTAAGTACGGATTTGGGATCAAGTAGTGAGTTTCATGCTGAAAAGAGCAAGTTCTGGAACAGCAAGATGTCGATAGGGCTTTTTGTAGCTGGCCTTTGCAATACTGATATCTCAGAAGGCTGCAACTTACAAAGGAGCACTCAAACCAGTAACAAAAGTTATTATTCACATTCCAAATGAGTTTCTGTGAGTGTGTTGATGAATTAATGGATTCATGATTCACCTCTGAAGGTGTAAAATATAAATAATTTTGATCAAAATAATGTAGGCCAGTCTTTAACCCTGTCACATTATTGATACACCAAAAGCGGGGCATCAGGTAAAGTGGGCCAACTAAGCTTTATGCTTCACTGCTTTTGCAGGGCAGAGTTGCAGGGCTCAATCACATGTAACTATGACAAATAATGTCTTCAAGGATGCTTGTCATTCAGCAATTAATGGAGTTGTGAAATAACAGAAACTTGGAGGGAGGACCATAGCTGAACCTTTTCTCTTGCCTATCCAACACCCTATAAATTCCCATCTCTACCTTCCTTTTACTGTGATAAAGGTTTTGCGATCCATACCATCACGGCATCTCTTCCCTGTTCCTCAGACCTATGTCTGTCCTACCACAGTTAAAAGGTGGCGTCTGGCCTTCTGGGTTCGGCCCATGTTTTCATAGTTCTCTCTCCTCCCTCGTTCAGTCTTCCTTAATGCTACCACCATATGTTAAAGTCACAGCCCAAACTTGCACATTTTTGTTGGTCTGAAATTATCATTGTTGCGATGATCATGACTTGAATTCATGATTTCACATTTGCTGAGTTAATGCTACATTTTTACTATACTGCAAGTCATATTGCACTGCAGTATGTAGCTATATATAGTTGCAATATGGTGTTTAGTCTATACTGTCCAGTCCAAGATGCTGCATTTTCCTTAGCTTTGTCCAAAGAGTGTTACTGAGTCACACTGATGTACTGTAGTGTGTCCCGTGTGTGTCTGTGTGAGGCGGAATGTTTCTGCCAGGTTTCTCCTGAACACTCTTGCATTCCTCTCATCTGTCTCTCTGGGCTCAGTAGACTCATCTCTTTCTCCCTTCAGAGAGTGCCTGAAGGCTGGGCAACTGCTTCTCTCTATCCACTCTTCCTCTCCCCCTCTCTCTCTCTCTCTCCCTCCCTCTCTGTTTCTTGCTCTCTTTCTATCTGTCAGCTCCTCTCTCAGATCCTCCTCTCTCTGGGCCGTGTGTTTGTCAGCTCTGCCGGCTCACCTCGCTGTGACAGCTGGAGCGCCTCTCGTTGCTCGTGTCACGCTAAAGAGCTTCCGGATGAATCCGTGATCAAACCAGAGGAGACGAGAGAGAGAGTGATCAAAACCTTTTAACCAGTGCTCGATACAAACCAGGGGCAAAAAGCTGCGGCTGCTTTGATGTGACTACAAACGCTTTCCCGTGTCACAGGAACCGCCACATTGCTTTACGTTAAACTGTTCCCCCGGATTAACGCTGTCGTGTTTTTGGCTCCCTCCCCCTGTCTCCCTGCAGGGCTGCAGGTACAGGCTGAGCGCTCTCGTAGACGGGCTCAGAGACTTCACCACAGATCAGCCTCAAAGCAACCCAGGGCCAGGTAGCTTCCTCCTGCTGCATTCCAGCACATTGATCACATTGATTTACATTCATACACTGATGTATGATTTGCGTCTTGATGATGTACTGATAACACATTGATCATATTGATACACGTTGATGCACATTAATATCACATTGATACATGTGGGTCAAATTGAAATGCATTGTTCACATTGATTACAATGATGCACACTGATTACAAAAGTCATTGATCTGATTGGTCATAGTGATACACATTAATGGGACACTTGTTCACATTGTTTACATTTGATACCGATAGCACTGATATGCCTTTTATTGGTTCACACTGATATGTATTGATCACATTGTTCACATTCATACAAACTGATCACATTACTAAGTACTGATCACACTGATCACATTGAGTGCGTTTACATGCACTAAATAATCTGATTATAATCGGATTTCTGCAGTTATCTGATCATTCAAATGGTCATGTAAACAGCATACTCTGACTTCTTAGATCAGAGTAAGGTTTTGAAATCCAATTAAGAAGTCTGTTAAAGAGAGCTGGATTTTAGCTCAGTAATCAGATTTCTCAACGCATATATACTCTTACTCGGATTTCCTTCGGATTTCTCAGTCTGCGCATGTGCGAAAATAGACCATGGTACCAGAAATAAGAAAGCAGCATTTAACACAGCGCCCGCAAGACGGCAACAAAACGCCAACAAGAGCAATGCTGAAACTACCTACATGCTAAAAGAAGCTACGATGCTCTAATAAAACCTGTCATTCAGCCCTGACACTTTGCTACAACAACACATTGGTGAACATTGTCAGTCGACTGTTACTTTGGCCCGAATACTCTCTCTCAAAATCAACACACACATTGTTCGTATCACCCATTGTTCAAGCTTATGTACATTTACGCTTATATACACTGACCACATTGATGCACATTGACCACAGTGTTGACATTGGAATACACTGATGCACATTGTTAAGCCTGTCCATTATGTTGCTGTTTTGCATGAGAGATGTTGTTTCTGACCTCTTGCTCCTGCCTGCAGTGAGGAAGAACCTGAGGAAGACGAGGAAGATGAAGAGCACTGCACTCCAGCAGAGGCTGCTCTGTCTGCAGCAGCAGGTGGCAGTGTTGCAGTCGGCCAGCAGGGCGGCGACACGCATGGCCCAGGAGCAGAGCGAGAAACGCACTCGAGCTCAGATGGAGCTGGAGATGCTCACTCACAGACTGCAGGCCAGCAAACAACTCTCACAGGTACAGCATGCTAACAACCAGGGACATCGTGATCTGAAATTAAGCATTTAGGCTTAATTTTCTGGATCAGCATCGGCTATGTTAAACCTGATCAAGTTCTGATCCTTTGCTACCTCACTCTCTTCTGTTTGTATCGCTGTTGCAGAGATTATTCTCAAACCTGCAGCAATGAGGCGCCTGTTCAGAAGTTAACAAAGCAGTCTAAATGTCTGCAAAGTGGAAAATGAACATGTAATATCTGTAATGGCAGTGCTTCTATTACAGTTAAGTTGATTTCATCAAAACCTGGAGATTAAACTGGAGATTTGAGAAAATTTGAGAGCGTGGCTGTTATACACGTAGAAGTAAGAATAACATCAGGTTCAAAGCTGTGAGAAAGAAGTGGCCACTTTGCTTTTAAGACTGGCTTGCAATGCAAACATTGTGAATTCGAGATACTGTGAAGTGGTCATTTTACAATGGTAGTCCAAAAATGCAAAGGTTTTAATGTGTTGTGCAGTGCATGTACTAATAATGACGTATTTGAAGTAATTGGCAGTTTAGCAATCTTCTCTTCTCTTCTCTTCTCTTCTCTTCTCTTCTCTTCTCCTCTCTTCTATTCTCTTCTCTTCTCTTCTCTTCTCTTCTCTTCTCTTCTCTTCACTTCTCTTCTCTCTCTCACTGTCTCTCTCTCTCCCTCTCCTCTTCCCCTCTGCCCTGGTCAGCTCAGGGCCGGTTTGTGTATCCTCTGGCCTCATCATGTTTAATAAGTGTGTGTGGTGAACACGGCCAGAGGTCAGCACCGCAGAACAGCACGTCCATCGCCCTTATCTGCTCTCCATCTCCATTTTTTTTCTGTCCCTATCTGCAGAAATTGCGTTCATGGCCTTTTTCAATTAATGTTTAATAATGTGCTCATTTTTCAAGATTCAAAATTCGGCACTCTTTATTGCCAGACAACAGAGCTGATGCTATTTGGATTAGGTACAGCTCTGTATGTGCATAAACAACAAGCAATATGGTAAACAATAGAGTGTAAAACAGTGCAGCAGGTGACAAACAGGAAGGCATTAGAAACACCATATAAAATCAGAAATGATAGTCAGATGTAACAAAACACAGCAGTGCCTTGAAACTAACACTAAAACTAAAACAACAGCAAATATAGAGTGATGCACTGTTGTACTTTTCAAAAGTTTGTGATCGCTTTTCTAAAGCTTGAATCATTGTTTTCGGTAATGTTTTTTAAATATGTTTTAAAATTTGTTTTTGCAAATTTATCTGTAAAATGATTCTTTATGATGATGCTTTACATCTTCACAGGTTTCAAATAATTAGTAGTAAGCTTAAAAAATTAAAGAATGTTAGTTGTGTCCAGAATGATTAACAAATCTCCAGATGATTCCTTAATGACTGAAAAAACTGTAGGAGATTAATAAAGAAGTTCTAAGAAAACTGATATCCAGAATTGACTTTTAATAAAAATAAATATCCAAAATAATATATTTTTTTTTCGGAATAAATTTATAGCAAAAAATAATACCAAGAATAAAGATATAATGAATTCTATCCAAAGTTCCAGTGAAATTAAATATAATTAATGTCTGAAATTAAGTTCTAATAAAGTTAATATCAGTAATAATCAGTAAAGCATATAAAATAACCTTCTGATGTTTAGGTTATAATATTTACTTTATTAGTTCACTTAACAGACACAATACACACATAACGGTAACTGTAATAATGATTTTATACAATAATATTTTTACAGTCTAGATAGAAATGTTCATCATCATTATTTCATAAGAAAATGCCAGATTTATCCAAATTTTTGATGAACATACATATGCATACACAGACACACTCTTGGTTACAGAGACATCCTCTAATCACACACATGCGCACACATACTCACGCTGTGCGCCCAGCAGGTGTGCTGGTTGTTTGGACAGGTAGCAGACAGTGCAGGTACACTGAGCTCACCTGGGAGCTGATTAAGAGACTTCCTCATACAGGAGGTCAAAAAGGATGCCCTGACCACCACACACACACATACACACACTGTCTCTCCCCCTGCCTCTCTGTTTGTGTCCTCCAGAAACAGCAGGATGCAGCAGTAATGGCCGAAGAGGGAGGTGTGTGTGTTGTAGTATTAATGTGGCTGTGGGAGGGCAGTAGGTCCATGCCCCGCTGCCCCTTGATGCAATGCTCTGCTCTAATTGGCTGGATCCAGCTCCAGCATTGTCATCTGATTGGGCAATGGAGAGCGAGGAAAGGAGTGTGTGTGTGTATGTGTGTGTGTGTGTGTGTGTGTGTGTGTGTGTAGTGGGACAATATGGAAATCTCCTTTTGCGATAGCAGTGACCAAAATTATCCCCATTTTCAGTATTATTGCTGTATTGTTAAAATATGCTGACAATGTTTCAATAGCACTAATACACACTTAGCTCATTGTCTAGTTTACAGTATTGCAGTCTAGGCTACTGGGCACAAAAATAGGAAAAACCCAAATTATAATGGTTTTTACTGACCATTTTAGCCTGGTCAGAGTCCAGATTTAAACCCTCTAGTGAATATTTGATTTCATATTAGTTTGACAATGTTTTTCAACTGTTTGAAGCCATCAGTGCTGAGTGGAAAAATTCTGACTCTTCTTTCTGTAAAAGTCTGTCTGCAAATTTACACACAAAACTTCAACATTTAAAGATATCAAGGGAAAAAGCTCTCCCATATTTAGTTACTTTGCATATTTGTTTAATGATTTGTTTTTAAAACAATTAAAACCCTGATGTTTTTCCATTTTGTGCTTGGCCCCTTTTTTGCCCAGGTGTGTACACTAGTATTCGAAACATTGGAATCACTGTCCAAACATTTGGAATCACTGTCTTCAATAAAATAAAACTAAATTAATCACAGATAAATATATTAAATGATGCCACTGTCCTAGGTTTCAAGGCGTACAGTTAACCATATGAAGTTTTGGAGGTACAGCAGTATAAGACTGGGATAGAGAAAATCTAGTCTAATACATTTTCCTCATACATCTCTGGCCAGCAATTCAGTCATGCTCAGATTTGTGTTTCATTTTCTGTTTTTCTAAACTTACTAACCTCACTAAAAGTAATCTAATCAGACTGCGGATGGTGGGGTATCACCATGACCTCACAGGCCAAAACATAAGAGCATCACTCACTAGAAATGAAAAAAGTATTGCACTAATAACGAAACTGAATAGTGAGATTATTGTTTGAAATATTAGCATATTAGCATAGGTGTCAGCCTGCACAGACAGCAAATGTTCATTCACAGGCTTTAAAACCAAAAGATTGCTCTTGTTGCTAATGATTTTAATGTTAGAGATGTACTATATGGTTATTAATGAATTTATACAGTTTAGAGGCTCTAAATAGAGGTTTCCAGGTTTCTCCTGCTCTCTCTGTAGCATTCTGCTGCTTTACTCCTGTATTGATCATGCTGTCCACTGCAGGCCAGCAAATGTGTGTCTGTATGATTGTGTGTGTGTGTGTGTGTGTGTGTGTGTGTGTGTGTGTGTGTGTGTGTGTGTGTGTGTGTGTGTGTGTGTGTGTTTGGAAGTGTAGCTAATGTCAGTGAGATCACAGGCCCAGTCAGAGTCAGCCTAGCGACCACTCTGTCCCCAAAGAAAACCAAACCCAAGTCTCTGACACCATAGTTCTGCTCCTCTACCTCATGTCTCTCTTTTCTTTCTGTATCTTTTCTTATCTTTTTCATTCAAATGTCTGCATTTTTAAAAGAACAATATTTGAATATCCCACCAAGAGCATATGTAATATTGTTATGAATGATAATATAAACATAAGGTTTAACATTGGTTTATTGCTTGCAGCCAGCACAGGAGGGGATCATGTGCGATTTAACACAGTACCAGCTGATCTAAAAACACTAACTTTCACAGATGTACACTGCACATCAGCTTTTAGTTTTTTATTTTATATTATACATGCTATGGTCATTATAAGTATATAGTCCCTGGCCTGATAACTTTGAAAACAAATGACTTAAGGTTTTTAATTGTTTTTAATATTTATCAGAGTTATAAGACTATAGACAACCCAGTATCTGCGTCGAGCTCAAACACTTTTTATTTTGGCAAACCGACACCTTATGACACAACCACAACTTGTGTCAAGCACAGCGTATTGCAACAGCAATTCTTATTGCCCTTCAAAATCTTGTACAGTTATAGATTTTGTTTTAAAATTAGTTTCTTTTCCAACCGTATCTGCATCAAACATCCTTTTTTTCTCCAAAAAACATTAACAGTAAACATCTTTGAACAAAAGATGCAATCAATTTATCTGAATTACCCACTGTTATGTATAATAAATCAATTAATTTAAAATAACTTGTTTACCTGTGAAGAATAACTGATTTATTTTAATAAAACATGGAATTAACGGGGTGGATAAGGACATGACAAGGTGGATCAGGATATGACAGGGTAGACAAGAACATTTCATATTTACAAAGGTTTTATTACCAGTGTGTCCATAATAAATATCTAAGCTTATATTTCACAGTGAATTGTGGACTAAATATGTCTGTTTTGGTCATGCTTACTATTTAAGTGCCCTTGTTGCAGTGTGTTGAATGACAGGAAGTAAAATGAACCTGTTTTAAAACCTTGCAAAAACACTTTTTTAACATCAGTATTTTAAAAGCTATTTGGAACTGCTGTTTTATATTAAAAAATAACAAGAAAACAACAAAGAAAATGCATGTCCAAGTCCAGCCTGTTCTGCATACATCTACCCTGTCATGGAAAGATGCATGAGAGGGTGGATAATTTTATCTAAAGTTAGCATTTGATAAACACATGGTTGAAATGAAGTTGCAGACTGTTGAAATACTCAAGATGACCTTGTTTTGCCTCTAAATATTCTAAAATTATTTTAATTAAACTTCATATTTTACCACAACAAGGTGGACATCTAAAGCTTGATGTTAGCTAAGTATGGAGGCAAATATTGTGTAAAATTAAC